TAAGCAGCTTAATTTTTTCGGCTTAAGGATTCTGATTGGTGTCTTAACGTTTTCTTCGTAAAGGCACCAATCAGAATCCTTAAGCCGAAAAAATTAAGCTGCTTAACTCGTAGTGTGAACATAGCCTTAGTAGTGCTTCTGTCTTATATACTGTTATGAATAGAGAGATGGAAAATTAATCAAAAATATGGATTATCTCTAGATTATCTTTAGAATAGAGAGAAAGATAATTCAAAATCTTGTGTCGAAAAATTTTTCGTTAACTGTAAAGCACACAGCGATGGTCAAACCACAAGTGAATGTTCGGTATGCAAACATTTGGTAACTCACAAAATCGGTGTAGCATCTAACTATACACGTCATATGCAGCGTCAGTATTTAAAAATTTATACAGAATGAATGGAATCGTTAAAAGTAACGATATTAATAATGTAACTCAACCAAAAATTAAAGATGCATTTATTAAGGCTAAAACGACTAAATACGATACTCAATACCCTTGTCAAATTGAATTAAATAATATGATAGTAAATTATTTAATAATAGATCTTGGTTTGTCACTATCGATTGTCGAACGTGCCACATTTTTACGAGCCATGAGTAAAGTTGATTCTAAATTTCATGTTCAAAGTCGGCGAGGTATCTAATCAATCTAAGAATCTATACCTGTATTCAAAATCTATATATAATGATGATCTGTGAATTGAAAAAAGTATGTATAACTGCTGAATTTATTGATATCTGGACTGATAGAAGAATGAGACGATGTTACGCTGTAAATAGTCATTTAATCATCGGTTGTGTTTTTAAATCATATGTTCTCACATTTTTGTAATTAGCAGGTATATCTTTAATTTGATTTACTTGAATATGTTTTCTCACATGGCTTTTCTCCTTTGCAGAGTTGTAACCGGTCTAAAAATAAGAAGCCGGATCGGGCCGGTCGATCCAAAACAGCGGAACGGACCGGGCCTGTCGGTCACCGGCCGGTCCAAAAATCGGTTTAGACTGATGAAAAACTGGCAAAAGACCTGCCGGTTTTGAAAAAATGTTTAGACCGGTGAAAAAACGGCAGAAAGCCGGCCGGTTTTCAAAGATGTTCTAGACAGACAAGAGGGCAGAAAAACTCACTTTTTTTTAGTGAAGAAGAGAAAATTTCTAAGAATTTCTGAGCCGGCCAAAAACTGGTCAATCACTGGTCGGTCTGAAAAATTTTCTAGACCGACAAAAGACCGGTAGAGACCGGCTGATCTAAACTTTTACACCGAAACGGACCGGTATCAGACCGGGCCGGTCCGCTTACATCTCTGCTCCTTTGATATCATGGGTTTTTTAATAAGTTACTTTAGTTACAAGAAATATAGTGTCGAAAAATCCTAGATATTCAAAATAATTCATAATAATGGTGGTTTTTGAATTCACTGTGCACTTTTACATTGATGCAACCAGCCATTGAAGGTGTCAATGTAGAAAAGCTGACAACAATGGCATACAAAAGAAAGAGAGAATTAAAGATGCTATTTTCGACAGAAACACTCCAGGCACGATAATCTCTTTAAAAGTTGCACTTAAACCTATCTTTTCTGCTCATCTTCTTCTTAAGGGCCCCCCCGCCTCAGAAATGGTGATTTTCGGTCAAAAAAATCGGTTTTGAGATAAACACATGAAAAGATAGTCTGAAGTGTCTACTTCCAGAATCTGTATTGCTTTTGGTTACAAAAGTGGTTTTTCTGGGATTTTGAGCAAGTTTTCTAAGCGCCTCGAAAAAACGGGTCTTCAAATAATGGTTTTTTCCTGGATACTTATGCAATTAAAATTTTTCTGAAAACACAGCTTTGTAGAGCAAACGTTTCTGATCAAAATAAGACTTCGC